TGCAGCAGCAGCAGCAGCAGCAGCAGCAGCAGCAGCAGCAGCAGCAGCAGCAGCAGCAGCAGCAGCAGCAGCAGCAGCAGCGCACCGTCGATGTAGCTCTTCCTGTCGTTTCTGCGGTCGATGTAGTAGGCGTGTTCCCACAAGTCGCAAGTCAGCAGCGGCGCGCAGTTGGGGTTTTCTCTAAAGGGGGTAAAGCCGTCGTGGGTTTGCAGCAGCAAAAGCCTCCGAGATTTCCTGCAGAAGCAAAGCCAGGCCCAGCCCGAGCCGAAGTGCGCAGCAGCAGCAGCAGCAAAGGCCTCCCGAAACTGCTGCACGCTTCCAAACGCGCTCTCCAGCTCTTCCCGCAGCGGGGACCCTATGGGGGCCCCCGGGGGGCCCCTGAGGCCGGCCGCATGGAGTTCCAGTAGAAGGTGTGGTTCCACGCTTGGCCCGCGTTGTTCAGCACTGAACCCGAGGAGGTCTTTATTACTTCTGCACGCGCAAACCCTTTAAACCCCTCCACCAAACCCTTTTTTAGGGTTTGCGCAGGCTGCTGCTGCTAGGGCTTAGGGCGAGGGTTTAGGGTTTAGGGTTTGGGGCGGATCTCACCCTCGAGGGTCTTGGAAGCCTCGGGCTTGCCCTCGACGAGTTCTGAGCCACACAGCAGCAGCCCGCACACGCAGCAGCAGCAGCAGCAGCAGCAGGTGTACGTACACCCCAGCGCGCTGCGCCTCAGCAGCTGTCGCTACACCGCAGCAGCGGCGGGCCAGTGCGCCGGTCTACGCCTCGCGGCCGCGGGCAGCGGCCCCGCAGTGCGGCTCCCGCTGCTGCTGCTGCTGCAGACACGCACTGTTCAAGTTGTTCACGTAAGCCGCGTGGTGCTTCCCATAGTGGTACTCGAGAGTCTCTCTGCTTATGTACGGCTCGAGGGCGTCCATGGGGTAGGGCAGCGGGGGGAGTTCGAACGGCATTTTCGCGGAAAGCTGCAGAAACTTCAGCAGCAAGTGTGTTTGCGGAATTCAAAATGAAATTACTTGCAAAAACAAAAGTGCTGCTGCTGCAGCGCTCCACGCAGGCGCCGCCGGCTCGATCTTCTCACTCAGCGCTCTCCGGGCGACTCGTCGCGCACTGCGAAATAGCGCTTTCCGCAGACCCCGACTTGCAATGCAGGGAAAGCTGCAGTTCCTTGAGCTCTAGAGGCCTTCAAAAATAACTAAAAGATAAATAAAGAGCTTTCCGGCTTTAAACGGGCGAAAAGGGTCCCCGGAAAGCCGCTTTCCGCCCGGGGAAGCAGAAAGAGTGCAGCCGAGACCTCAGACAGAGGTCGTCTTCGGAAGTGGGTTTGCGAAGATTGTCTGCGGCTCGCCTTCTCTAGCAGCAAATCAATTGACTAAAAGTGTAATTTTAAATTCTAAGAACGTCTGAAGAGCCGCTGAGGCCGGTCGCACAGTTTATAAATGCGTTGGACTGGAAACGAGGCGATTCACCTCAGCTGCGTGAGGTGTACGTACACCTGCCGGTTCAGCGTGCGCGCGCGCAGCCAGTGTTCAGCTTACTTCTGCGGGAAAGGGAAACTGGACTTTTAAAAGCACTTTAATTTGCGAAAAGTCGAATTAAACGCAAATTCTTCGAGCCAGTTGGTGTGTGTCACGGCCGCGTGTTGCGGGGCCCTACTGGCGCGGCGCTTGGCGGCGTAGTTGCTGGAGGCCGTGAGGAGGAGTGGCAGTGAATAAAGTTGTTTTCTTTCTTTTCTGCGTGTCGAATTCTTTCATTAAACACGAAGATATGTCCCTCGCATCCCAGGTACTTGCCTTTAGCCGCGTCTTCCCTTTCCGCGGCGGTTCTCGTCGGCTGGGGTCTCAGCGCGATTCGGGAGAAAGCTGGCGGCGCGCTGCTGCTGCTGGGGTGTACGTACACCTGGCGCCAGCCCGGCCGCGGGAAGGAACAGCCTTCACCGCCAGAAGTTTCATTTTGCTTCTGTCTCTCTGCTGCTCAGGAAATGCCGAACTCCAAGACCACCCAGAAGCGGCGGGGCTCCACGGACGGCTCGGGGGCCCACGGGCCTGCGCAGAAGGCGCAGCGCACTGCGGAGAAGGCCGCAGCAGGCAGCAGCAGCAGCAGCAGCAGCAACGCGAGCAGCAGCAGCAACGTGCTGCAGCAGCTGGCGCGGCTCTCCACCATTGTTGCAGACACTGCGGACTTCGAAGCAATCAAAGAATTCAGCCCCACAGACGCAACCACCAACCCCACCCTCGTGCTGCAGGCCGTCAGCAACTCCAAATATAAAAGTCTTTTCCAAAAAGCCATCAAGGAGGCCCAGGAGGCCTGCAAGGGCAAGGACCTCGAGGCTGTACGTACACCCCAGCCAGCAGCAGCAGCAGCAGCTGCTGCTGCTGCTGCTGTTGCGGCGGCAGCAGCAGCAAGTTGCTGCTGGAGCTAGTTGCTGCTGCTGCTGCTGCTGTTGCGGCAGCAGCAGCGGCAAGTTGCTGCTGCAGCTAGTTGCTGCTGCTGCTCTTGCTGCAGCAGCAAGTTGCTGTTGCTCCTGTTGCCGCTGCTGCGGTTGCTGCTGCTGCTGCTGCTGCTGTGTCTGCAGCGGCGCGTTGCTGTTGCTGCTGCTGCCGCTGCTGCGGTTGCTGCTGCCGCTGCTGCCGCTGCTGCAGCAGGTGCGCGGCGCGGCTGCTGCTGCTTGCTGGGGTGTACAGACAGTGGAAGAGGCCGTGGACCGCGTGCTTGTGGGGTTTGGAATTGAACTTTTGGAAATCATTCCGGGACTCGTCAGCACTGAAATCCCTGCGGAGCTTTCTTTCGACAAAGAAGGTCCAAATCCCTGCATGCACGCATGCATGCATGCATGCATGCATGCATGCGTGCGTGCATGCATGCAACACTTCACACATGCATGCATGCATGCAACACCCCACACACGCAGGTTGCTGCGGCGGCGCCGCGGTGTACAGACACCGCGGGCAGCCCCAGAGATCTTGCTGCTGCTGCACTAGCTGCTGCTGCAGCTGCAGCTGCTGCTGCTGCTGCTGCTGCTGGTTTGCTGCAGCGTCTGTGGCCCGCGCGCGTCGAATAATAGAACTGTACAAGTCGAAGGGAATTTCCAAAGAGCGAATTTTAATAAAAGTGGCAGCAACTTGGGAAGGCATTCAAGCTGCCAAGCAGCTGCAGCAAGAAGGCATCAACTGCAACATCACTTTGCTCTTCAGCCTCTGCCAGGTCCGTACCCGCATGCATGCATGCATGCATGCATGCATGCATGCATGCATGCATGTGCATGCATGCATGTGCATGCATGCATGCATGCATGCAGAGCCCCGCTTTCTGCTGCTGCTTGCATGCATTGTGCTGCCAGTTGATCTCCGTTGCTGCTGCTGCTGCTGAGCGTTTCCCTGCTGCACCTCTCCCGCGCCTTCCAGCTGCAGCTCCTTGCTGCAGCTGCTGCCCGCATGCAAATCCATGCATGCATGCATGCATGCAAGTGCATGCATGCAAGTGCATGCAAGTGCATGCATGCATGCGTTTGCATGCACGCAGGCGGTGGCTGCGAGCGAGGCGGGGGCCTTTCTGGTGTCTCCCTTCGTGGGCCGCATTTTGGATTGGCACAAAGCGCGGCAGCCGCAGGCGAACTTCGCCGGCGGCGACCCCGGCGTGGAAAGTGTGGGGCGGATTTATAATTACTTTAAGCATTTTGGAAGCAAGACTGTTGTTATGGCTGCTTCTTTCCGCAACACTGGTCAGTGTGGGGTGACCAGTGGACCACTGGGTGGACCAGTGGACCACTGCTGCGACGGGGGGGAGGGGGGGGCTGCTGCGGGAGGGCAGGGG